CCTTAAACACAACCCTAAACCCTAAACCCTGAACACAACCCTGAACCCTAAACCCTATTTGGTGGTTTAGGCTTGCTGTTGTTGGTCGCTTGTTGTTGATAGCCTAGGTCTCCCAGTGGGCCTTTTTTCGCCTTCTGTGATCTTATGTTCCTTATAAAGCTTCCCAATACCTAAAATGGAGACAGGTTATTCCTAGGCTATTGGGGATCTTGGTTGCTGCAAGAGGTGCTGAGGACCCCCTCAACATTTGCGAGTTTACGGTTTCCTGTGGGCTTCATCATCGTTACAGCCATCATCTTCGTCGTCATCATCACGACTATCGCTATCACCGACAGAAGCATCATCACAATCCGCATCAGCAGTTTTCCCCCAACTTCCCTTGTGTTCCTCCTCGTCGTCCTTTTCCCAGTGCTTCAATTCGTCCTCGCCCCTATGCTGAGCACCCGTCGTCAGGCATCAGCATTCGCACCGTCATCGCCGGAGCCAGCCTCTTCCTGATAGTTCTCAAGGGCCAGTGTTGTCTGCGTCATCGCTTCTAGTTCTTTCTGCATTTCACGGTCTTGCCGATGCAATTTTGATGTTGCCTTTTTCGCTCATGGGCACTGTCTTCGTTGGTTTTCCACGTCGTCGAAGTGCTATAGAAACCTCATTCATTCGTAATGACCACAAGTATCACCTTGTGTTCTTGAGTGATAAAATGCCAGAGTTGCAGTATTTTCAGTCCGTTGTGGGAGTTTCAAAAAGAGGAGGCTGTTATATACAGTATACAGCTATAACATATATCTCTCTCTCTCTATATATATATATTATGTATATAGCATCATAAATTCTAGAATCCTTATTCCAACGACCTCTCATAGGGTACCCTAAATCAAGACCCCCCCCCTCAATTTGGCACTCTGTCAGGCCATCCCGCAGCAAAAGTGCGCGGAGATCGCGAGAAGCACTTTCCCCTAGAGGCGGGGAGGTTCTGGTTGTTTTTAGGGTTTAGGGTTTAGGGTTTAGGGTTTAGGGTTTAGGGTTTAGGGTTGTTGGGTTCGCCAAGGCTATAAACCCCTAAACACTAAGCCCTAAACCCCCACCCCGTTTGTTGCCATTACGTCTGCAGGACTGCTTGTCCAGTTCGGACTGCTACTAGTCTGGTACTGTCGTGGCACCCAAAGCAGTACTGGGCTCTTGTTAAAGGGTCTAATTTAAAGCTATCAAAATAATAAAGAAACCGTAGTATTTACCATAAATGAGCATTTTAGTAACTTAAACCAAATTCCTTAGCAAAAAACCTAAAGTAGGGTTTCAGACAAAAGGCTTCGGGCCCTAAGGCCCTACTAAGCTTTGCCCCTCCCGGCCTGACAAAAGAAGCAGCGCCCCAAAGTCCAACGCCAACATCTCTCTGTGGGATTCCTAAAAGTAAAGCATGAAACACTAAACCCTATATAACCCTAAACCCTAGCCTCCTTATAAACCCCAAACTCTGTACGGCAACCTTAAAACCCAAAGCGCAGGTTCTAAAAGCCGGCCTATCTCTGGAGCTGGAGAAGGCCCAGGCGCATCTTCACGTCGGAGAGCTTATAGGGTTTAACAGGGTGCCTTTGTGGTTAGGATGGGCTTGATTGAATTTTGTAAAGGTTCTTCAAGCCTTAACTACTACACGCTGAACCTTAGACCCTACACTCCCTACACCCTCGCGTTCCCCCTCCTGCCCTCAAAAACAAAGCGGTCCTAAACCCTCAACCCTTAATTGAGGCCAGTCAAGAGGCGGACCGCGTCCACATCCTGAACTCCATCGCCGGTCCGGACCCTGGCTTGCCGGGTTCAGAGTTTAGAGCCTAGGGGTTCGGGGTTAGGGGTTTAGGGGTTAGGGGTTTCGGGTTTAGGGTCTAGGGTTTAGGGTTTAGGGTTAGGGGTTTAGGGTTTAGGGTCAAACCAAAAGTCCTAAACCCTAAGCCCTGGATGGCTTCTTGAATCAGGGCCTCATCAGATCCCCTCATCTCTTGAAGATTCATGGGATCAACGGTGTAGGGGAGGCTTGCCAAGAGGACTTACAGTGGAGGGATGCGCAACCGTACGCATCAGGACGTGTAGCAAGCTTCTTCTTCGCAGGATCCATGATGAAATTTTCGGGTGAAGTGGTTTGGTTCTTGAGGTGGAACTGCAGCCTCACAGCCAGTCCAAGACCCCCCTTCAGAGCGATAAGCCTTAAATCCCCAACGCTTGAGCCAAGCCGCTTTCTCCTCCCAAAGCTCTTGGTGCGAATTAGAAGGTGCCCCACAAATCACGACGGCTCTCCTACAGAGCTTGGTTGGTCTGGGAGTCCTGGTGGTCGCTGAGCCGGCTGTTCCGGTGCTGTTAGCCAGCAAGGGGCAACTTGCCGGTCCTTGCTGGCTTTCAACTGCCCTTCGGCCCGGCTGGGAGGCGATCTTCCGATCCCGTTCATGGGCACTCGCTGGGGCCCTGCCAGAACCAGATGCCGTGCGTTTGTTCCGGGCGATGGAGCTCGGCATGCGCTGGGGTCCTGGCTGGCAGCCGCTGGACGAGCCCAAGGCGGTGATGGCCACCGCCGTGATGCCGAACGATGCGGCTTTTGCAGTTCGTCGAATGGCTGCGTTCGTCGTGGGTGTGCCAACCATCTGCCTGGCCGTCGTGGCAGCAAGGTTGCTGCCACGACGGCCAGGCAGGCTGGTGTCCGGATCTTCGACGGAGTCAAAAGAAGAAGACGACCGTCTCTTTAGAAGCGGGCGGAACAAAGCATCAAAAGGAGGAGGACGAGTTCGAGATGCAGCTGGGCCCAGTCAAGCCCGCGGTATCTGCAGTCTACTATGTCTGCAACATCATCTTCTTGCTGGTTCTGACCTGTTGGTCCAAAGCGAAGAACTTGATGCTGGGTGGTCCCATGCCGTATTGGGAAGTCATCTGGATCTGTTTGGTTGTCGTCCTTTCCACGGATGTGCTGGGGTACTTTCAACTGATCTGGCACTTCATGATCGCTGCTTTTTTCATCGCGGTGCAGGCGGCGATCATGAAGCGCCAGATCAGTTTGACAGACCCTTTCATCTAGATAGTCATGAGCGTCTTTCCGATTCTGGACTGTTTCTGTTGATGGCTCCGTGCTTGAGCTCGCGGTCTGCCAACCTGACATCTCGTGAGGCGCACAGCATACTTTTGGATTGAACGCCGCGCTCCTCACCATCTTCCTGCCGGCGCCGGCATTGTTCTGGTTCGAAACGACCGGGAGGGACTCCCTCCTGGTCGTTTCGAACAGGAAGGACCTGGCGGCAGAGCTTTGGCCGGCGTTGGTTGCCCGCCTTCGGGTGAGCAAGGCGGCCACGGGAAAGCAAGAGCGCCTTCCTCAAGCGGTGGAGGAACAGTCCCTGTATGATGAGAAGTGCTTGGCGTCGTGCCCAAGGTTGTGGCCCAGTGCAGGTAATGTGCACACAGTCACGCTTTTGGACTGCTGTGGGCCCCAAAGCAGTCCAAAAACGTGAACTGTGGGCGAGGACTTGCCGCAGGCAATACTGGCAGTCATTGCCACGGTGGTATTCGAGCAGTACTCGGGGATGCTAGCAGCATCCCTAGTAATTACTGCTGGACTACCACCATGTCGTCATTTCCGGTGGCAAGATCGCTCCGGTCTTCATCTTGACAGAGTTCATCTGGGTGTTCGGGCTCTACAGCGTGGATCCGGTCGCTTGTGCCGCCTCTGCAGTGAGTTGCGGCCAAGAGGGAAGTGCAACGGTGATTTTCCAGGTCGCGGAGAAGGGCTGGGAATGAAAGATAAAGACAATCGAATTTAGTTTTTAAAGTTTAGGGTTCTGGGTTCAGGATTTAAGTTTTAAGGGTGCAAGGTACACTGTAAACGCTAGCGACGATGTCAGGGGATCCTTCCCGGGTAAGGCTTCTTTTGCTCTCCGCCTGCGTTCACGCGTCCTTCATGATAAGCAGAATTTGAGGGTTCTATAAAGGGTTAGTCATTACAGCGATATTCCTTACCTACATCAAGCACGCGCACCAGGTTCTTGGGTTGAGGCCATGTTAGGATTCTTCGATCTTATGAAGGGGGGGTACGGTTTCCTTGTGTAAAGGCCATAGGAGTTTGCGATTTCCAAAAAGGGGTTTCGAATAGGATCGGGGGATTGGGGTTTCTGGTTTAGGGGGGTCGACAGGTTGTGGTTTTGGGGATTTTGGTATTGGGGCTGCAGCTGTCCAGGGCTTTTAGCCGCGCTTATGCCTTCAACAAGGTTACCCCAAACCCTAAACCCTATACCAGAATGTGGCGGGGTTGTAGAGCGTTCTAGACCGTTGCATGTTGGGCCACAGGGTTCTGGGCGGTCACACTGTCGGGGATTTGAGATTTCTACCCCGACCCTAAACCTTTTTAGCCCTAAAACCGTAAAAGTTGCGGGGTCTTGGTCGGAGATCACGAGCCCTGGTCCTTAAATATCAACCCCCCGGCCAAAGCCTAACACCTCGAATGGGGTTTAGGGTTTTGGGTTTAGGGCAAGTACCAATTACTGTGCCTGGTTGCATTTAAAACCTGACCCAAACCCCTAAACCCTGAACCCTAAAACCCTAAATCCCCGAACCCTAAACCCTAAAGCCCGCAAAACCCTAAACACTAAGGCGAGTGATTGTCAAGTCAGCAAATTTGCTTTCGAGTCGAGCCCGCCGAGTCGAAAACGCCACGGCCTCGTGTCGAAAACCAGGGAGACCCTGAGTCGAAAACATCTGCCGACACCCCCTCCGGGGTTTAGGGTTTAGGGTTTGTTTAGGGGGTTTAGGGTTTAGGATTTTGGGTTTTGGGTTTCGGGCCTCTGTGTTGTTTTCTGACTCGCTAGCCCTGCTCTCCGACCCTTGCAGCCCTCGTTTTCCTTCCTAGGTTTTCTGAATTGGTCTCTCTACCGTTTTCGACTCCTTTTTTCTGACTCGGGCGTCACCCATCATACACTAAGGCCCCAAAGCCCTGAACACTAAGCCCCTAAACCCTAAACCCTAAACAATAAAGCCCAAAAAACCCGAACCCTAAACCCTAAACCACAGACCCCCAAAGCCCAGACCCCCAAAACCCCAAAGAGTCTTCCGCCTTGCCGAGGGCGGTCCTTGGACGATCCGCCCCTGGCATCGCACCCGAGCCTTTCGTCACAGCAGACACGAGGGTTCAAAGTTTGGGGGACTTCGGGTTTAGGGCTTAGGGTTCTAGGGTTTTGGGCGTTGGGGGTTTAGGGTTTTTGGGCCTTAGGGCTTCGGGTTTCTGGTTTTAGGGTTTTGGGGCTTTAGGGCTTCAGGGGTTTAGGGCTCAGGGCTTTAGGGGTTCAGTGGTTTAGGGGCTGGGGGTTTGAGTAGGTCTAAGGGCAGGGGTTGAGGGATGCGGCTGTTAGAGGGGTTTAGGCCCAGGGGTTGGGGGGTGTAAGGTTTAGTATGGCAGGGTTTAAATAGGCAGTGAACTCATTCTTGAGTAGGTCTTTATAAGGGTTCTAGAGTGCGGCTTTAGGGATTGAAGGGTTTGGAACCCTGAATTAGAGATTGAAGGGTTTAGAGCCCTTAACTTCCAAAGAGCTTGGTATACTGATTCAGTGGGTTTCTGCAAACGAAGGGTGCTGTTTGGGTAAACCATTCAGAAGCACCCTTGGGCCGAAACCCCTATCATCCCCCCTGAGTGTCGAGATGCAGGGCGTGGGTTCTAGATTTGATGATCATAAGGAGGTCTAGGGTTTAGGGGTCGGGTTTCCGGGCTTGGATTCCAAACAAATTCCAGGAATTTGATGTGTAGGGTTTAGAGGTTTAGGGTGTAGGGTGTGGGGCTTCAAAAGGTGCAGGGTCTCGAGTCTTTGGTTCGGGTTTTCTTGTCTTGACTTTTGATGTTCTGGGGATGTGGAAGACGGTCCATCTCGCGACTTCGCCTTATGGCTTCGCTGGGCCCTTCTCGGAAGATCGTGATGAGGATCCGAGCCAAGCTAGAACCTTAATTTGAAGGTGTTCGTTTGCTGCGCATGTTCAGATCCCAAGCGCAGCTTCCCTCCTGCACCACGTCCTGAATTCTGTACCGGTCACGCCGGATGCTGTGCCGCCTGCCGTGCCATGCATCGAAACAGCATGCCAATTGGGACACTGCACACTTCAGAGCATTTCCAGTGCTCGAAGAACTCGTCCGATTCCGAAGATTTAGAATGGAGCAGTGGTCATTGCAACCCTAAGCCCTAACCTAAACCTAAGCCCTAGAGAGTAGCTCTGCTTTCTGGACCCTTGGCCCTGAAGTCGTAAGCCCAGACCCTAAAGCCTTTGGTCATTGCAACCCTAAGCCCTAAATTAAACCAAACTTAAGCCCTAGAAAGTAACCCTGCTTTCTGGACCCTTGGCCCCGAAGTCGTAAGCCCAAACCTTAAAGCCTTAAATCTGAATCGCTGAGCCCTAGAAGACTAGAACCCTGTACCGTAAATGTCAAACCTGAGCCCGGAATTGGAACTGGGAAGCCCTATTACCAGGACCTCCCAAGTACCCTTTAACGAGGGCTACAATAAAGTGTAGTGGGGGGGGGGGGGGTTTAGGTAATTATATACTCTAGTACAGATCCCTATATTATGATAACTTAACTTCAATCCCTATACCCCAAACCCTAAACAAAAAACCTAAACCTTAGCAAGAGCCCAGCCTCAGGCTACACCCGGGTCAACCAGACTCTACGGGGCATTTTCGCCGTGGCAGGTGGGTTTAGGGTTACAGGTTCCAGGGTTTAGCTTTCGGGTCTAGGGTTTAGGGTGCTGGTGCAGCGATAGATCCGTAGGACCCTTTGCTGTTTCTAAATATTATGGTTTTTCAGGGGTGTGTTGTGGGTATTGTTGTTTTTTCTTCAATGGTTTGGGTGTTTAAGGCTTTAATGTGTGGGTTCTAGGGTGTTCTATTGAGGGTTAAAAGGGGGGACTGTCAGGGGTATTAAGGCTCTTTGGCGCTCTCTAGCTAATTTAGAATGCTTACAGTGTCAGGTGGAGGATCTAGGACTTACGCGTCATAGGGTTATAGGCTATAAAGAACAGGTACAAGGCTCAGCCCTGAACTCTAAATATTTTGATCCCAGAGGTATTGTAAGCCTGAACCCGAAGCACATTTTTTAAGCCCGATAAACGCTAAAATAACTCGGTCATTGATTCAAATATAGGGGTTTAGAGTTTGCCTGGTTTGTTGAACCAGCAGCTTTTGACACTCTGGTGGTTGCCCCTAAACCCCTGACCCTCAAAACCCCAAACCTTAAACCCTAAGCCTCGCACTACTCGCAGACGGAGAGCTCCAAGTAGATGCTGTTTCTACGGCGCCAAACCCTGAACCCTCCTTAGGGTTCAGGGTTTAGGGTTTATGGATTAGGGTTCTTTGCAAACGAACAGTTTTCACAGGGTTCTGTAGGTTGCCTGTCGCCAATGGCGCTGAGAACGACGCTAGTGGTGACAACATTAAACAAGTTGGGTTCAATCTTACATCCATAAGCCATACCCATATCAAGCAAGGGCAAAAATTGCAACTCCCTGAAACCCTATCTAAGCCCCAATGCCGCAAACTCGAACCCTCAAACCCTAAACAACAAATAAGCAGGTTTCCCAAAGACCTTAAACCTAAACCTGAAACCCTATAAACCTAAAACCCTGAAGCCTAAACCCTTATACTGGAACTTTCCAAGGAAGCCCAAGCCATCTCCAGCAGGTTGGAGACAGGCCGTCGAGCGGGGCATCGTGCAGGCATGGCTTGGGCATGGATTCCTAAACCCTAGACCCTAAAAGGCCCTTGGAGTTCAAAGTATCCACGACTAGTTTTGCCACTACATGGAGTAAAACTTCCAATGGGGTTGAAGGTAGGGCTTTGTAGGGTTCGTGAGTTTTTTTTTCATACGGTTTGTCAGGGTTCGATTGGTCTTCCCTATGGGATTCGATAGGGTTTCTGCTTCTCCAAGAGCAAGTAAAGGCCAATGGACCCTGCTTCTCCAGAAGGCTGTAAACCCTAAACTCTAAACCCTAAACCCTAAACCGTTCCAGAAGGCTGTAGAAGGGCTGGTGTTTATAGGGCCTGGCAGGATTTTACAAGGGGTGGCTCTCTAAATTCGGGCCCCTTTTTATAAGGGTGCCGTATCTTTTTGGGGGACTCAAAAAGGGACCCTGGTTTTAAACGTACTCATCTTCCAAGGGGTCAAATAAATCCTAAGCCCTAAATCCAAACCCCCCTCAATAAAAGCCTAAACCCTGCACCCTAGACCCTCAGCCCCAAGGTTCCGACCCCAGTCGGCAAACCTGACAAAGCAGATGAGCATTGGGCTTAGGAATTTAGGGGGTTTAGGGCTTTTGGGGATTTAGGGTTTAGGGATGTAGGGATTTAGGGT